TAAATGAAACAAGTCAGACAGAGAAAGACACATACCATATGACCTCATGTACATGTGGAATCTTTAACAAACAAAAACAAACTCACAGAAAAAGAGATTAGACTGGTTCCCAGAGGTGGGGGTTTGGGAGGATGGGGGAATTGGAGGAAGGTGGTCAAAATGTGCCAACTTCTAGTTATAAGATAAATGAGTCCTGGGGATGGAATGGAAAACATAGCGGCTATACCACTGCTGTGTGGTATACAGGGAAGCTGTCAACAGAGTGGATCCTAAGAGTTCTCAGCACAAGGAAAACATTGTTTTTCTTTACTCTTTTCTTCTTTCTTTTATCTATGAGAAGATGGATGTGAGCTGAGCCTATCATGGTGATCATTTCACAACATACGTAAGTCAAACCATCATGCTGTACACCTTAAACTTATACAGTGATGCGTGTCAATCATTTCTTAATAAAACTGGGGGTGGGGCTTTTAAATAATGACTTTTCTTTAGTTTCCTGAATACAACCATAATACCACTCTATTGCATATATTACCTTTCAAATACAGTTGATTTCTAAGGGCATTACACACATCAGTGGTCCTGGAACCCAGTGGTGGATGGGGCCCCTGGGTGGCTCAATGGATTGAGCGGCCAACTCCTGATTTTGGCTCAGATCATGATCTCAGGGTCATGGGATAGAGCCCCGTGTCAGGCTCCACGCTCAGCACGGAGTCTGCTTGTCCCTCCCCCTCTTCTCCTCTCCCCACTCACGTGCTCTCCCCCCCAAAATGAATAAATAAAATCTCAAGAAAAAAAAGAAAGAAAAGAAAAGAAATGCCAGGTGGAGAGGAAGAAGCAAGAGCAAGTCCAGGAGAAAAGATGTAGTTAAACGGAACACTATTCCCTCCCCCAGTGCTCAAGCCTTTCAAAGTGTGTCACCACCTCCCTGAGCAACAGGTACACGTTATACCCACAATGGGGCACAGATTCTCAGAATTATCGCTGCTACCCCATCCACGACTTCCCTTTTTTATTTCAGGAAATACCTGACAGGGAAATTTGCGTAACTTGCCTAAGGCCACCCCGGGCTGGGCCGGACACATAATTGAAGCGTCCTCCTGGCTCCCTTCAAATCCTGCCATCTGACCACCAGCCAGCATTAGCCATTCTGATGCCACTCGAAGTCACATAGAGCCTGCCTGTATGGTGAAAATTAAAACAACCAGCTCAGAAATGAAAACCTCAACGAACCGGTGCGCTTCATCTACCTCCATCCAAACAACTAGTTTGACTGCCCTGAGTCAGTCAAATGGACTAATTTTTTTTCAACTCATGAAACTCAACAGCCTAACTTTTTTGGCACCGTAGAGACAAATTCATACTGAGTCATTGGAACGGGAGTCATTGGACAATATTCAAAGTGGCAGATGACCAGAACATTACTGTTGCAAGAGATCATTGTAACTGGACCCTCGCTCGGCTGCCGATACGTTACATGACTGAAAAACAGAAACGGAGTCTATAACCAATTTGAGTGGAATATCCTGGCAAATGAGATCTATAAGCAACTGCAGAGAGGGCAATGATATTTGTTAGCTTCATTCACTTATGCATTTACTCGCTTACTCTTCCCGCATGCCTACTGAGTGCCAGAAACTGAATGGGGTGCTGTTTAGTATACAAAAATACGGGCACCTGGGTGGCTCAGTTGGTTACACGTCTGCCTTCGGCTCAGGTCATGATCCCAGGGTCCTGGGATCTAGCCCCGCATCGGGGTCCCTGCTCAGCAGGGAGTCTGCTTCTCCCTCTCCCTCTGCTGCCCCCTCTGCTTGTGCTCTCTCTCTTTCTGAAAAATAAATAAATTAATTATTTTTTAAAAATAAAAAATAAAGATAATTAAGTACAATCCCTGCCATCATAGATTTTACAATATAAAATGAGAGATCAATGTAAATTAAGCAGGGTACAACAAGGGCTACACAGAGGTTTTTAAAGCATCTGTATGCATTGTGGGATTTTGGAAGAGGGTCCAACCCCAGCAGTGAATGCTGGCGAGGCTGCAGTGGGAAGTTGAGCCTGGCCAGGAAACCCAGGTAGGACATTCGGAGCATGGTAATGAAGACATGGAGATCCTTAAGAGAGGATATAATCCAGTGTGGGCAAGCAAAGGAACTGGACCCACATAAGGAACAACCCAAGCTAGGGACCCAGATGCAAATTCCAACTTCACTTATAGGTCAAAAGGTGGGGCAAATGAGGGTAAAAAGAATAACATCAGAGTCTTGGGCAGAAAAAAAGTGGGTTTGGGGGGTAGGCTGGGGAGGGCAACTTCTTTTATTTATTTTATTTTTATTTACTTTTGTTTATTGCCATGTAAAGGAACATACTAGGAGCCTTACATAAGGTATCTATTTTCCTCTTTGTGACAATCCTACCAATTGGGTGTCTTTATCCCTTTTTCATAGACAGCCACAGTGATGTCCATAGAGCTCTACCAATAGAGGAAGGACTTTCACCCACACTACGTCATCTTAAGCCACACATTCCTGCTCAATAAGTAGGACAGAAATCCCTATTTTATGGAAGAGGAAACTGAGGTTTGGGAAGCTAAGCAACTTTCCAAGTTCAGGGTCAGAGACGCTGTGAGCTTTCCTTTCTGTGGGTAGCCTGGTGCACAAGACTGTACGGCCAACCCAGACACTCACTTCCTTCCCAGCTTGGGTTCTCCTGTTATCCACGTGACTAGGTATCAATCTGGTTATCTGAAACCCAGCCGACGGAAACCCAAACTGATAACAGCAGCTTCCAAACAACTCATGCCAGCTTTGGGAAATTCAGCTTCCCCATTCTAGGAGCAGCAAACAAAGAGTACCACCCACACAGACCTTTTGGAGATGCACTACTATGCCCTGTTAACTTGAGAGAATGGGTTGTCAGGTCCATGTGGCCCCCGTGATGCAACACAGTCCGAAGAGCCTACCAAATTCTTTAGGGAGTATATTGTAGATCAGCCTGGGAAAAACCCAAATTATGATTGCCCAAGTCTCAACAAAACTTAAAAAAAAAAAAAAGCAAGTCTCGCTTGGCAACTGTATGAAGACCACACCTTATGCTGCACATACCTGGGCTTCATCATTCTTGCACAAGGGAGTGCAATAAAACATTTCAAGATAAAGCTCCTTGGACTCCGAGCCCTGTTTTAAAAGTCCCTTGCCAAAGGAGGCCCTGAACTTCTCCAAAAGCATTAATTTAGCAGCCATAGCCAACAAGATAGTGGTTTGATAAACTACAGCCTACTGTCAACAGAAATCTCAGGAACACAGATTTCCATTAAATATCTCAGCCAGGTGGGTTTTCCCCCTTTGAAATACACCTCCACCCACCCACCCCCCAGAAGAAAGTGCAACCACCGGTCCAAGCAGCATAAAGATGCGAGGAACCACGGGACACTGTTCCAACCATCCCTGCCTCTCCACCGAATCACTTCCTGCTTAGGGAGATCTCTCTTCTCAGAGATCTCCTAAACCCAAAAGTAGCCTTAGCCATTTACTCTCTTCTGACATGCAACTCACTCAGATCCCAACAGTATCCAAATCCAAGGCCATCCTATAAACAATTCTCCTGAAAAATAAACACCACCTACAGCAACGGGCCAAATATGACAAAAAATTCAGTATAAATCTAATAGGGGGGAAAAAAGGCAAAACAAACTCTGACATTCTTGTCTCTCTACATAGCTTTACCAAAAAAAGACTATGCACCTAGAAAGTCAAAAGAGCCTCGCAATTGAACCAAGAATACCCCTGGCTCCACTCCTAGCCCACTGCGTACTTGTAAAATGAAGCCAATCATTTAGCCTCCTTGAGGTCCCATTTCCTCATGTGTAAAATAGGGATAATAATAGCTGTGTCCTATTTACTCTACGACAATGTATGGACGATCAGCAAGATACTGTCTGTAAAAGTGCTTTGATCTCCTCCGAGATAGCGCACTCTGAACATTTCAAGCGGTGTTATTACCGCATTTTGGTACACATGAAACCTGATTGGCCACTGACCAATAAAGAACTGGTAATCACAAGGCAAAAACAGAGAGCAGCGTGCTGCACAAGGAGAGCGGAAACCCCAGATAAACGAGCAAAGACAGAGGACTCTCATCTGGTCACCAGGAGAGCTCAGGCAGGTAAGACATGTGCCTATCTAAAGAGAAAAAGTTGATGCCAAGACAACCTGACCTAATTCTTGAAAATCGGTTACCAAATCAGGAAGCAAAGTAATGTGAACTGGATGTTTCTTCAAGAAGCTGCTAAAACACCCAACTTCTGGAGTAAGAATTTAGGGAAAAACTCGTAAATTGCCCCCATTTCCACTCTGTCTGTTCTGGGGGTTCTTCCAGAACTCACCATGATACAATTTGCACTTCCTGAATGTGAATGCTTAGTTTTAAAAAAATTTCAATTTATTTGATGTATTTTTTACATATATTTGTGCCATTTTCTGCCTTTCCTTTGTATTGCTCTCCTACACTATTATTTTTTCTAATATTTTTCAGGCAAAGACCTTCTCCAGACAAAACTTTTTTGACCAACATAGCTCATTCATTAATCTACGCACCAAGCATATACTGAATACTTACTACACACCTGAAAGAAACTAGCAGAATGAGTTTGATGGACAAATAAATGCTTAATGATTTGATTCTAATAATGGTCTGTAGTTCTACAGAGTTCTATACTCCTTTTAAATGACAAAATATTTCCCTATTTGTTAAAAGAAAAAAAAAACAGCAATATATCTACACGGTCACACCAGAACCATCCAAAACACAACCCAAATAGTCTAGTGTTGATGTTGATGTTCCTAACGACATTTAAAAATCCCCATAATTAACGGGGCAAATACAACCAAAATTCCACCTCAATACTTGGAGTTTTTTCATCTCTGGGCCTTCTCCAATTTTAGAATAATTTTTTTTTGACCCCAGATGAATGTCAACCTCTTATTGAAGCTCGTTTCTGCAGATTATTTTCCAAACGTGTACAAAATGGAACAAAAACGGAGAATCCCTTAAGAACCTGAAGAGGTGCAACATGAAAAGCTACGATTATCCAGTAGCAAGCGTTCCAGCCTTCAGCTGCCAGCCACCTCCTCTTCCTGTTCCCCAGAGTTAGCGGGATGAAAACGTCTTCCCCGTGATTGTTTTCACTTCTTTTTTCTCGGCGTCTGGACGTGCACGGTTCAGCACCTTGAGGAAGTCAGATGTTTTTGCCCGCATACGTGTGTGAATATAGGCCTTAGAGCACTTGATGTGGTAGTGCAGATAGTCCCAGAAAGTGTGGATCAGGTTGATGGCGTTGTCTCGAGCACTGGCATTGGTGTGGCGAGGGAACAGCACGAAGGTAATGTAGCCAATGTTGTCGCCCACGGCAACGTTGGTGTCTTTCAGCTCCAGAGGAGGTTCCCTGTGGCTAAAGAGGACCTGTGGGGCTGTGGGGCTGGCTCTGCGGCCTTCTTTGAACTCCTGCATGAACACTTTTCCAATGACCACATCGTCATCATCCTTAAACACTGTGCTGAAGACTACTGTGACTCTGTCCTTTTTAGATTCAACGTACATGGTCTCATCATCCCTATAATGGATAACTGCCCTGTTCTCGCCTTCCTTGCCCTCTTCTTGGAATTGGAAATATTTCTCAAAGACAGAGGCAAAACAATTTCGTTTCAACATGCCAGCCTGATGCACAATGGAATCCTTGGATGCCAGCAGATTTTCAAGGTCATATAGCAAAGAGACATCATACCCTGATTTGGGATTTACCAAGAAACTCCCGTACACCCTCTTTAATAACTCATCAGCACCATGTGCCTGAAGTTCCTTGTAGAATTTCAAAGAAATATTGACCATCACTTTTGTTTTGTCTCCATTAGGATTTGAAATATGATAGAGGACTCCATCGAAATCCGCAAATGTTACTTCTACTGCTTCTGGTTTGTTACTGGCGGCCGCATTCTCGAACTTGAACAAAATGACAAAATCTCTCTTTTTTTGGCAAAATTTCTCTTTTTTGGCAAAATGTGGATAATCATATTTATTTTGTTCTCAAGAGTGTTCTGGTGGAGCCTGAAAAGTCTCAACACCTGAACATCTACCAGTTACTCAATAAATATCTGTGGGTTGATTATTTGATGACTCATGACTCCAGTCATAGAACTAGATCACTTCCCAGGCTGGCAAGTGAGAGCTCGGGGTCAAGGTTTCCGTCAGTATGCCTTGGATTGTTTTCCCTGGTTCATTAACTTCCTCTTGCCCACACAGCAGTACAGCCTGCTGCTTTTCTGCCTGTTTACATTCTCTTGGGCTCTCCCTGTTCTGTCTTCCCATAGTATTTTGTTATCCAAAAGAGCTAATCATCATTAACAAAACCTGGAGACTTTATTGTGTGTTTGTGCTGACAGGTTTGTGCTCTGAAGAGTTTATAGAAGACTAGTGTCAGCTCCGGTGTCAGAGCTCTGCTTTCTCAGCCTCAGTCCTGTAGTCACAGGAATGGAAACCATTAAATTACTCAAAGAAGAAAATCAAAATCAGAGACCTTCTGTGTGCTCTCCTCTTCTCTGCATCTCTTCCCACGTGTCCTTGCACAGATCTGTGGTTTAAATATCTACGTGGTGATGACCTCCAAATTCAGATTTCTAACCCTGGGCTCTCCCTGAGCTCCAGACCCATACATACAACAGAAACTTAACATTTCCGCTTGAAAGTCTCAAAGATACCTGGCCATCTCATAAATGAAAGCACCATCCACCCATTTGCTCAAGTGAGAAATCTAGGCATTTACCTTGATCCCTCTAATTTGTATCCAATTCATAAGCAATGCCTGTCCCATATCCAATCCATTCACTACTTCTAATACATAGGCAAGTACCAACTTGACTTCTCAAAAATCCCAATTCCCTATCCCCTTTTCCCCACCATATAAGCCACCATTTTTCTTGCCTTGGATTACTGCAAGGACCCTGTAACTGAACGTGCTTCTTCACTTTGCCTCCACTATCATACCTTGTCTTCACCACAGCCAAAGTAAGCTTAATAATATCTATTAGGTTTTGTCAGTCCCCTGTGTCAATCTCCAGTCATTTCCCATGGCACTTCAAATAAAAATCCAAACATGCTTGGCCTACAAAACCCTCCATGATCAGCCTACTCTCCCATCTCCATCCTCATCTCCTACCTTCTCATTATGCCCACTGGCCTACAGCAGAATGAGTTTGATGAACAAATAAATTTCAAGCACATAAACCCCAGCCTCCTTGCCCACAGGACCTTTGCACTTGCTGACCCTCTGCCTGAAATGTTCTTTCCTCAGAGGCTCTTCCCTTTGACCCTTTCTCAACACTCAGATCTTAGTTCAAGTAACACCTCCTCAGAGAATCCTCTATTCTTTCTATACCAGTCACAACCCTTTTCCCCAAATATCTATCACATCACTCTCTCCCATTGTGTCATCTTGAAATCCCTTATCTGCATATGCATTTATTGCCCCTGTTTTGCAGTAGAATGCCAGTTCCATCAGAACAAGAATTTTGTCTTATTCACTGTAATATCCCCACAGCCTAGAATAGATGCCTGGCAAATAAATATTGGCTGTTGCATATTCGTGGATAGTTCCCTAGAGTATAAATTTTACTTGAAGATGAGTAATTTAATATTCCATTTTCATATTAAAATAAACATGGGTATACTAAAGAGTAAGCTGTACAAAATGTTAAGAGAAAACACAAGACTGCAAGGAAAGTCCCCATTTGCTGAGGCTGCTTTGAGCTAAGCTCCCAGGATCCCTGAGATTCAAGTTCATGATCCTCTGCCAATAAAGGTTCTCTAGAATAAAATTCTGACGAGCATATATCTCAGCACTGTTGTCTACAGCAACGCTCTGACTCTTAGTTTCCGATCTCTGAACGATTTCCCAATACAAAGTCAACAACCACCCCCCACACACACCCAAGTCTTCAGCTGCCTAATTACTTTAAACATAGATATGGATTTTTTAAAAAGATTTTATTTAGGGTGCCTGGGTGGCTCAGTTAGTTAAGCGACTGCCTTCGGCTCAGGTCATGATCCTGGAGTCCCGGGATCGAGTCCCACATCGGGCTTCCTGCTCAGCAGGGAGTCTGCTTCTCCCTCTGACCCTCTTCCCTCCCATGCTTTCTATCTCTCATTCTCTCTCTCTCTGAAATAAATAAATAAAATCTTAAAAAAAAAGATTTTATTTATTTATTTTAGAGAAAGAGAGAGAGAGAAGCCCAACTTGGGGCTCGATTCAATGACCCCGAGATCATGACCTGAGCCGAAACCAAGAGTCAGATGCCCAACCGACTCAGTCACCTAGGCGTCCCTAGATATGGATTTTTTAAGCTAAATAATTGCATGCATTGCTTCTCCCTTGACCAATAATTTATCTCAATCCTTCAGGTCAGTCTAGATTAGCCAGAAATGGATTCTACTTTGAGAAGGATGCTAGGCTTACTTGCCAGCAGAAATTCTTGCCTTTATTATAGATTTACCCAGCTGGTGAGGTATGGAAGTAACTATTGGGCATAAAAATCCTGGAAAAATATTTGCCCCTAGCAAAAAAGTCACTGAGGGTAGGACTTGAAAACAGTCACTTTCTCCCCTAAAAAAAAAAAAAAAAAAAGGGCTTTATTTAATTTGTTATAAACAAACATGTATGTGTTGTTTATCATGAGCTCTTTGAGTCCCAAGCATCTTGCAAAGATGTTAACTCATTTAGTCCTTACGGCATACCTATTTTTTATCCCTGTTTTTTAAATGGGGAAACTGAGGCATAGAGTAAATAACTTGCCCAAAGTCATCCAGCCTGGAAATGACAGAGGCAGAATTCAAACCCAATAGTATACTTCCAGAGCAGTACTGTCTGGTAGATATAATACTAGCCACATACATAATTGAAAATTTTTTATGAGCCACATTTTTTTAAAAAGGAAAAAAGAAGTGGGTGCGATTATTTTTAATAATATATTTTCTTAAAAAATAACGTGTTTTATTTCACCCAGTTATACCAAGTATTAACATTTCAACAGGTAATCAATGTAAAAGTTATTAATGAGCTATTTTACATTCTCTTTGTTGTTCTAAGTCCAAAATCAAGGTGTATTTTACACTTACAGCACAGCTCAATTCAGACCAGCCACGTTTCAAGGGCTCAGTGGCCACATGCAGACCCCCTCTACCAAGTAGGACAACAACTGAGCATCTACGTTACCTTTCCAATGATAGCTCTTGGGAGAATGTAGAGTTTTTTTCTGGGCTGTGTTATTATGGTAACTTTATGCCAGAGACTTGGTAGAAAACTGCAAGCCTCATCTCAAAGGCCACAGTGAGTGCTAAGGAACCCCATCCCTTCAGCTTCTTTACCAGCCCCATTCAATTAGGTCAACGTACACCTTGCACGGCTTTTGAGATGCAGAACTGCGGCAGTAGGGAAATGGAAAGAAAGGTCTTTTCTACCCAAAATGAGAGCCAGGAGCCTGGGATCCAAGAGCAGTGCTGGAGGGCTAACAAGCATAGTCTCTCTGGCCACTCATTTCTCAGCATCTTCATGTTCTTTTTGCATCAGGGTGGGACTGGTGATAGTGGAGATGCCTCTCAGTTCCCAAATGAGCCCAGTGCTAAGAGCATGTACATCACAGCTGGAGAGGCTTGGGACTGAGTCCTGACTTCTCACTGAAGCTGGCGGCCTTGGGCAGATGCTCCAACTCCTCCAATCCATCTTCTGGGTGTTGCGAGGTTTGAATGAGCTGATGCATGTCCGTCACTTAGCCCAGAGCCTGAGGTGCACATGGAATAAACGGACACTGTTCTTGATCATGTTATTCAATGATCATCTAGATTATTTTTTTCTGTTCCTATAAGCTAAAGAAATTGAGGCAATTAGCTGAAACTTTAAAAACAAAATAAGCTTATCTGAAATATTTAAAAATTTGGAAAGTTGAAGCTGGGAAATAGATTGCTATGATCTCCTGGGTATTTTCTTTCCTTTTATAGATGTAGTATCAGCCTGTTGCAGGAAACATGATAAATAGAAAGTCTGAGCAAGACTATTGGACCAAAATCCTAAATCAAATGGAATAAACTCTAATATTTTCAATTATATAAGGTACAAATTCACACATGTGTCCTGTTTGCTTCCTTCAAAAACCTTATAGTCTCTCTCGTGTAATACAGAAAATTTGCATTTTATGCAAATAAACATTTGTATTTCATTCTGTGTCTGTTTTAAAGTGATTTTTTAAAAAAATTGTTGTATACCATTCCTCGATAGATACTGTGAAAAAAACAGGTTGTAATACTGAAACTCCTTGTATGGAATATTATACCTGTTTGGTTTGCCTTTTCCCACAGTCCCTGTATCTCTACAGGATTGACATTCTCCAGACTGATGAGTAGTCCAACAATCCTATCACATGGGGCCATTTGATTCAATCACTAAGACAACTAACTTAACGAAGACGCTGACTGACACACAATAGAGCCACATCCTAGCAATTACTCTGAATTAACTTCCAACGTTCACTGTGGTGGTCGGTATCAATGGAGATAGAGACTCCTGAGATTTACTTTAGAGTAAAACTCCCCTGCACCCACTGACATACACGTTACTACAGAAAAACAAAAATGGCATGAGATTTTTGTCTCCCTTTCACGTCTTTGTGTATTAGGATTTCAGAGCAGGAGAGCACCAAGGAGCAAAAGGGGACTCCTGAAGATTTTCTTTGGGAATCATAACCCTACCTTTATCCGAGTATCCTCTTGCTGGCAGGAACTTTGAAGGCAAACCCATTAGCTGTCCCGCAGCTTTGTAGTTAAGACTTGGATTGAATGGGGGCGCCTGAGTGGCTCAGTCGTTGAGCGTCTGCCTTTGGCTCGGGTCATGATCCCGGAGTCCTGGAATCGAGTCCTGCATCGGGCCCCCTGCTCTGCGGGGAGTCTGCTTCTCCCTCTCCCACTCGCCTTGCTTGTGTTCCCTCTCTCGCTGTGTCTCTCTCTCTGTCAAATAAATAAATTATTAAAAAAAAAAGACTTGGATTGAATGATACACCACAGAAAATGCATATTTTCGGTGCTCATGACCTAGCTGGGCTCATGCTTATGGAAACATGAGCAAGTGATGCTTGAACTACCTTCTTAGTGAATGTTGTTCATGCAAAACACTGCAAAGGAAAGCAATCTTCTTGAGGCTGGGGCAGGCTGGAAGACACAGAGACACAGAGGTGAAGGGCAATCTGGAATGGGGAGCCATTCACAACATCCTAAAACAACCCTAGATATGTAAATACCATCAAACCACATTGTTTCCATTAAAAAAGCATGCACTCCATGCACGTATTTAATAACTGTCATTGGCTCCCTTATAGCATTTGCCTCTGGAGACCTTCTCACCATTTTGAAATCTCAGTTAGCGACCACAGAAATATTAGCCCAAGCACTGACTGGCAGTGGGGTAGGGACTAAGGGAGTATTTTCAGCTGTGGCACAGCCCCAAGGGGAGCAAGGAAAGTGCACATTTCTGCCCATTAACCAGAGGAGGAAAGAGGCAAGATGGATTTGAATGAGTTCTTTCCGAGATGTTGGTGATACAAACCAGACACACTTAGAAGCATATGAAGAGAGGACTCAAGGAGAATCACTTTAATCAAAATAGAGAGGAAGCGATTCAAATAATGCTGATCCCCAGTGCAAAGCAGGATTTTTTTTTTCTTTTTGGAAAAAGTCTACTGGATCCTCTTAAAATCGTTCTTCTCTTCAACAACACCTGTGGATACCGATTCAAGGTGTAAATGAAACCTTGCTCTTCACAGGGGTCCCATGAACAGGAGCTGCGCAACCCAAGAGCACAACGCTTAAGAATACCTCTGTGAATGCCAAACTTTATACAAATATATGCGTCATAGAGCAGTCAACAAAATACAACATGAGAAGAATCTCTGAACATTTTTCTACAAACAATGAAATCCAATGCTGAATTCTTAAATCACTCATTTTGCAAACTTTTATCCACCAACGTTATACTCCTTGCTGTATGGGAGGCTTTAGGGATGAAAGACATTCTTTGCCCTTAAAGAGCTTGAGGTCTAGGGTGTCTGGGTGGCTCAGTCCACTAAGTATCTGCCTTTGACTCAGGTCATGATCTCGGGTCCTGTCACATCAGGCTCCGTGCTCAGTAGGGAGCCTGCTTCTCCCTCTCCCTCCACCCGTCCCCCCACTTGTTCTCTCTTTCTCTCTCTCACTCACTCAAATAAGCAAAATCTATAAAAAAAAAAAAAAAAAAAAAAAGCTGGGGCACCTGGGTGGCTCAGTCGTTGAGTGTCTGCCTTTGGCTCCGGTCATGATCCCAGGGTCCTGCAATCGAGCCCCGCATCGGGCTCCCTGCTCAGTGTGGAGCCTGCTTCTCCCTCTCCCACTGCCCCTGCTTGTGTTCCCTCTCTCACTGTCTCTCTCTCTCTCTCTCTCTCTCTCTCTCTGTCAAATAAATAAATAAAATCTTTAAAAATTTTTTTAAAAATTTTAAAAAGAGCTGATTGTCTTGGGGGGAGGCAAAGACATAATGACTGAGTTTGACAAATGCTTAACACAGGTGAGCACAGGGTGCTGCTGGCTGATGAACGGGGTCTTCCTTCATCCAGGTCTGGGTGGAGGTGGCAGTTTTAGGGAAGGTTTTCTGGAGGAGCTGACATCTGAATCAGGCAGAGGGGTCGGCAAAGCCACAAGATCATGCAAGAGAGCCGGAAGGGCTGAAACACGGGCCACAGGCAGAATGATGACAGTCATCACTGAGGACACTGACCCCCCAGTGCCGCGGCCTCTTGTGAACCTGGACGCTATCGGGAGAACAGTAGGGAAGCCAGGAAGAGCGTGACAGGGGACAGATGCGGTCATACTGGGGCTGCGGGAAGCTCCCTTTGACGGCAACATGGACCTGATTGTCGGGTGGACCCAGATGAGAGACAAAGAGACCTGTCAGGACACCGTTGGAAAAATTCAGGCTAAAAAAATGAGGAGGGTTTGAACTAATGCCATGAGGATAGTTCTGCAGGGAATATCAACAGGATTTTATGGCCAATTAGAGGCAAACAAGGAGGAATTATGGACAACCGCCAGGCTCTAGTTCGGGTAGCAGGGTGACTCCCAGCGCCACTCGCCAAAATAAGGAGACATAGTTCCCTCTTCCCTCCCACGGCTCTTTCTGACCTCTGGATGATCCCATTTCTCCCAGCCACAGCAAGCCTCAGTAGCTCATTCCAGCCCATTCCTCTCCGGCAATGTAGATTCACCCAGTTCTTTCTCCAAAAGGTGGGAACCAGGAAGACGCTGGAACTGGGAGAGGCATAAACATGGGGCACAAATCAACCAACCCACCAAACTGTCGTCCAGATGCATTAGCAGAAGTTTCGAAACTAAAGCAACGCGAAACACTGTGACCAAAGGAAGGCTTTTACTATGGAGACATTTGCCCTCATTCCAAGGATACAAATGTTTATAGAGGTTGGATTCCAAATTCACCAATGTCTTTGCAGCGATGAAGCCAAAGTTGTGTCTTTCCACTAGACATACAGGCGGGGAGTATATAATTAAGAGAAAACAGGCCATGAAATAAATGTATTCGATGAAAAGTTATATACACCTTAGAAAATATGACCTGTCTTGCCCAGAGAATGGTTTGGCTAGTAGAAGGTACAAACTCTTGCAAGGTTTCCACTCATCAGTTTGTATTCTGCTAAGGAATTGTGGCTCCCTCTGTATTTGTTTTGTTAAAATGTCTAGATGCACTCCTATATTCTACCCTGGGGAACCGTGCATTTGAAATGATGACCGCACCCCACACAAAGAACTCTCCTGACACCAACACTTCCTTCTCAGTGGGAAGGAAGATACTAGCACCTAGAAGCAGCAACATTTGGAAGGATTTAATGAGTGTTTGTAGAGCACTCCCAGGCCTTAAGATGAAAGACATCCCATGAGCACAGCCTCTAATTGATGTTTGTTATTTTGAATGTTTCACTAAAGAACTTCTCTCCATATAAATGAACTCTCATCCAGAAGCTTTGAGGACATAAAATTGAAGAGTCTCAAGTGTGGTCTTCTACCAACATGTTTTTTGGGTTTTTTTTTTTTCCCAGCAGTAATTTCAGACATGGCAATTTCCCAGTCAGCAGTGATTATCCTGCTAAGATAGAATATTGACTTCAGGTGCTGTGATCCTACAGCAAAGTCTATTGACAACCAAAACAACCATTTCTTTGGAAGTAAGGTCAATACATAGATAAATAAATAAATAAGCCCAAGATTGTGATGGGCTAAATCATTTGCTTTTCAATCTATTCTGAAGCAGTGTTGAAACACTCGTTTGTTTCTCTTGTTTCTATTTCTCTTGGAAATGAATAGTCGATCAAACATTTGGATGTTGAGCTGTACATGTGGCTTAGCTTCATTTTCCAAGAAGTCGCTTTCATAATCCAAAGGTTCAAGGAAGAATCAAAGTGTTCCATTTAAGCCCCAGGATAGGCACTATTTCACTTTGCAACTTAGCCGTAAGTTATCAACCAGTACCCAACTCATTGCCCCATTTGGTCAAGTGCGTACTCATCCCAGGTTAGGAAGAGAATTTAGAGCTGTGGCCGACCTGGAGACTAATGTGCCTCAAGTCTAATGGAGGAGAAATGACTCCTTCTCTAATGATGTGCGTTCCCCTGTCCTGAGCAATGTACTAATCTTCCTTCTCCATTCTTCCTTTTCTCCATAACGACTCCTATTATTGACGATCAAAGAAGGAGATTATGAATTCAAACCCACCACATCTTCAGTTGAGCTAGAGTTTTGGGTTCCTAAATTGGCAGATAAGAATTAAAAGGCAGGGGAGGGTGCCTGGGTGGCTCAGATGGTTAAGCATCTGCCTTCGGCTCAGGTCATGATCCCAGAGTCCTGGGATGGAGTCCCGCATCAGGCTCCCTGCTCGGTGGGGAGCCTGCTTCTCCCTCTGCCTCTCTCTCTCTCTCTCTCTCTCTCTGTGTCTCATGAAAAAATAAATAAAATCTTTAATAAAAAAAAATAATAAAAAATAAAAGGCAGGGGAGTCTGGCTGGCTCAGTCGATGGAGCATGTGACTCTTGATCTCGGGGTTGTAGGTTCGAGCCCCACAGTGGGTGTAGAGATCATTAAAAATAAAATTTTTAAAAATATATTAAAAACAAATTAAAGGACAGTAGTAATCATAGATTAACTATTACATCTTTCCAGATTTCCTTGATGGTGCCAACAGCTAAAGGAGCAGGAAAGAGTGCAACTCGGCTCCCATTACATAGGTCTTTCCAAACCTAAGCCAAGCCCAACCAAGCCTTAGGCCAGCTCTCCCAAAGTTGACCATTTCTAATTCTAAAGAGACCGTACTTCAGGAAATGTCTCTGGGGCATTCATGACCCTATCTGTCATGTCTCTGTCTCAAAAGAAAACACGTGAGGCTTAGTTTTGACTCATGGTGGACACATCTCCAAGTAAAAGCAAAAGGCCCGTCACCTTGTTTCCCATCTGGTGACCTGGTCTTTTATGAAGCCCATGATGCTTCACTTGCTGATGAAGGTTCCAGAAGAACATGGAAAATGGGGGCAAGGATTGACCTGTTGTGCTAAAAACCATCCAAGGCCCTTTCATATACACGGCCTCCACCTCCTCCCATGCCCTCTGACCCAGAAAGTCGAACAGCCTTCGGACCTTGCCTCTGCTAAGCTTATGCCCTCCAAAGCTCCCTCTGGGTTCCTTTTAACATGAGTTTGCCTTCAACAGTCGGCTTGGTGGAGAGGATCAGGGCACCGTATGCCTTCCCCTGGCCATTGCACTCCCCCTAAAGATGGCCCCGAACCTGGAGTCAGAATTCAGCTCAAGACAGAAAGTTCTCCTGAACTAGAGGCGAAATGCAGAACATGGAAAACAGGGTGCAGCACTTAACGTGTCCCAGCTAGGCACGCCCACGGCACAGAAGAGTCTGCTTGAGAAACCCAAGCAAATCGAGCTCCATCCTGAATTCAGATTTTTTTAAAAAAATAAAATTAAATGAACGGCAGAGCAATCATCATCTGTTATAAAGGATGCCCATGACAGTAAAAGCTTTGTTATCACACCAGTCAGGGAAGTGGCTGCTGGTCAGCTAAAAATGCTGGTCAGTATGGCTTTCTTCATATTGCCCCCGGGGGGTTTGCCTCTTATCTCTTCTCTGGCTCCCCCTCTTATAAATGAAAGACAGTGGATCTGGTTTGTGTGCAAGTCGCCATTTAAAGTGTATGGAGATGGAGAATTAATGTTGTTTTGCCCAAAGCAGCAGGAAGAGTAGACGCCACTCCCTAGCCACCCCGCCCTGAAGAAAGTTGCTGCGCTAGTCGGATTTTAGCTGGTTACCAGGGTGAACATGCTGGTTTTGGTTTTGGTTTTGGTTTTGCGTGTTGATGATTTCTAATACTTTGGGGTTGATGGTACTACCAAAAAGAGGGTTAACTTTTTATCAAATAATCTTTTTTTTTAAGATTTTATTTATTTATTTGACAGAGAGAGAGAAAGAGAGAGAGCAAGCAGGGGGAGCGGCAGAGGGGGAGGAAGAAGCAGGCTCCCCGCTGAGCAGAGAGCATGAGGCAAGGCTCAATCCCAGGACCCTGGGATCATGACCTGAGCTGAAGGCAGATGCTTACCCAACTAAGACACCCAGGCGCCCCCTATCAAATAATCTTAAAGTCGTGAGGAACTATCAAAGGAACAAAAATGGAAAAAGCGAGCCCCAGGAAGCAGCATGGATCGACAGTCCTCTGGGTGTTCATGAGGCTCTCTTGTCTTTACTGCTTCTTACCCTTATGGATTTCAGCAAGTCACTGAGCTGCTTCGGCTCTCAGTTTTCTCATCTGTGAAATGAGTATATTAGACTCAGGACCCCCGAAGCTCCTTCCAATCCAGGATTCTCAGTGTACGTTCAAGAGACAAAGCCTCCAGGATGAGTGTCATCCTGACAATCCAGACCATCTGAAGACCTTACAGAAGTTACCAGAGCAAAAGGCCCTGAAAAAGAAAGCTGGCTTAAGTCAATCTAGTGCCAATTCTTTGAAAAAGAGTCTCCTCTTTGACAGGACAGGAAGGCCAGAGTCAAAAACTGGCCTTGGGGGTGGCTGGGTAGCTCAGTCGGTTGAGCGTCTGTCTTCAGCTCGGGTCGTGATCTCAGGGTCCTGGGATCGAGTTCCGAGTTAGACTCCTTGCTTGGCAGGGGGCCGGGCCTGCTTCTCCCCTGCCTGCTGCTTGCCCAGGTTGTGCTCTCTCTCTCTGTATCAGATAAATAAAATCTTTTTAAATAAATAAATAAATATAAATAAAAACCTGGCCTTGGCATCTTTGTGTGAAAACCAGGACGTCGCATGCTGAACTCAGAACAAAGGCGGTGGACTGGTGAACAGGCCAGCACTTGATACCACCCCAGGAGACACTAACGCGGAGCCCCTGCTCACTAAACTAAGGCCTTTCTGCAAATTAGAAGAGGTGAGAGATGCCACCAACTCAGCCACACGTGGCCGTGGAGCCAGAGCGTAGCAGGAGACACTGGCTCTGAAGCCAAGGAGTCTTGGTTTCGAGGCCCGGTGTTTCACTGATTTTGTGTAAATTGTGTGTGATTTTGAGTAAATTACTTACTCTCGCTACACCTGAGCTTCCTTTTGTAGCTCATGGTAAGTCTCTTTCAGAATGATGAAAAGATCAAATGAAATAACACATACGATGCAATGCCCAGTGCCCGGTACATATCGGATACTCCACAAACTAGCTATGAATATTTCAGCAAAGGGACTGGGGATATCAGCAGCAGTTTCGACAAATGCCTAGAGTATGCTGGCGGGACACCAGCTTGCATCGGTCCGGGAGATGGGCCCAAATTACCCGTCTGGCCTCCTTTTTAGGAGCAGAGGAAGGAATTTCTATCCCGCAGGGAAGATTCAGGAACAGAAGGGGGCCAGGTTCTCTTTGTCAAGGGTCTAAACTGACTCTGGCTAGAGGGAAGGGAAGCACCAGGACTGAGGAGAACTTCAGGAATGAAGGGAGTTAACTCATGAAGTGACAAGGCAGTCTCCACGTGCTCGTAACAGTAGCAAGGCAGGGAGAAGCGAATGCATGGAAGAAGGTCCAGAAAAAAACAAGGATCACTATCTATACCAGATGAGGCAGGCCAGCCAGAGGACACAAGGCCCATACTTGCCTTCAAAGTCATTTGTTTGCCTTCCTACATAAATGGATGAAGAATGGAAAAAACACACACCAGAGACAGATCCAGTGACCATCGGTACTATATTGGCTGAAGCTTAAGCCACCACCCAACACCCAAACCGGAAAGGTGGTGCCTATAAGGGTCATTTCGTTAATAGCATCAACCTTTGTGAACAGCATATTCTATCTCAGGTCAAGCAACAGCCAGAAGAGAGGAGAAAAAGCAAGAAAGGAAGGCCACGGCCAACTGTCCTCCTGTTGAATCTTCAGGACTTCCAGAGTCCTACTGAAGACTCATCCTTTAATGAGTTCAAGGGCTTCCCCTTTTTTGGGAACTCAAAGGGAAAAAAAAGCCTGAAGAGCAAAGGTTCTCTATACTTTGATGCTGTCTTGTCTTCATGACTGTCTATCATTAAAGATAATGGACTAAAGGATCATATCATTAAGTTGGAAAGAGAGGTCATTATCTGTTACACCATGTCACCTTAAAGACAATGCTTGGAACACAGAGCGATGACTAAAAGTAATTAGACTGGGGACTCAGTGCGGCACACTTGCTATCAGTGACCCCACACTGTGTCGCGGAGCATCAGACAAACCCAGGACCGGTTCCCAGTAGGGGGCAAGCCAAATGAGTTTTTCTTTTTCTTTTTTTTTTTTAAGAGTTTATTTATTTACTTTAGAAAGAAAGAGAGAAAGAGACAGCACGAGTGGGAGGGGCAGAAGGAGAGGGAGAGAGAGAACCTCAAGCAGACTCCATGCTGAGTGTGGAGCCTGATGCGGGGCTCGATCCCAGGGCCCTGAGATCATGACCTGAGCTGAAACCAAGAGCCAGATGCCTCACCAACTGCACCGCCCAGGCGCCCCCAACATGGATTTTTCTGTCATCCAAAACTATGAGAATAGGAGTCAAGCACTCCCAGGGAGGTATAAAATTTGCCATGAGTCTTGGAAAAGCCACTCATTTCTTGGGGCCCTGGTGGCTTCGTCCAAACAATGATGAGGCTGGGCCAAAGCGGCTTTTTGAATTCCAAAGTTAGTGGTGGCCAAGGCCATGGGCTGTGGGGTCCTAGACCTGGATGTGGATCAAGTGCTGGCTCTATCCCCTAATAGTTGTATGACCTTGGCAATCTTCTATAAAACAAGATGACAAAAGTAGCTACCTCATAGGACTCGGGGGGACATAAGTTAACAAAATGAACATTGAGTATGTGCACCAAGGTGATAGAAAGCAGAGAGGGTCCCTGTCTTCAATGGGTTTTCAATCTGTAAGTGGAACTGAACAAGCACATTTGGTAGAAATAAATCTCCACTAAAGGAATAAGATAGGTTTGCACCATGCACGTGACTTGTGTCAACACCTTTCTTTATAAGAACGGATGCTTAACTAACAATAGCTGTAATGCTCTAGGAAAACCCACCGTTAATTGTCCCTTGAAAGCATGTACCTGAGCATCCGCCACAAAGTGGGCCCTCGAATAAATAGGTCAGAATTTGTACGGATAGGAACGCATCAGCGCCGAGCATTTAAGAAAGGTAAAGACCCTGGGGACCGGGGCCAGACGGTGCCAGCTTGAAAAGACAGGAAGGAAGACAAATAGGAAAGACAAAAGAAAAGAATTGTGAGCAAGATGAGTAGATCTGGGGGCAGTAAAATGGCAGTGGGAGATAAGGGAATGCGAGTGCATTTGCCTGGCTGCGGTTGAAAACATACGCCAAAGGAGGGCAGATCAGTCTTCATTCCTAGGACCCGCTCTGGAGGAGGGGGCCATGGCCGTGGCCCATCTCAGGAACGTTCTGTGTGGCCTCTCGGGGCTCTGGGAAGGGAGCAGGGATGGACCAGCAATACTGGCCCTGAGCAGCACTCTTTCCATGGGGGGCACCCTCCTGAGCCCCAGAGAATCAACACTCCAGGGACAAAGGGGTGGAGAGAAGGATGTGAAAGGCGTTCTGGAGGTAGATGATGCTGATGGTCGCCCAACATTCGAAATGTCTTTAATACCACTGAACTGCACACTTCAGAATGGTCAAGAAGTGTGTAAATTTTCTGTTCCGTGTATTTTACCACAATAAGAGACAGTCATATAATTTTTTTTTCAAACCTGTGGCTACCAATATGGAATTTGAGTCTTCTCCAGATTCCTGGTCAACCGCCCCATCAGTGGCAAGGAGTCTGGGACAGGGACTGTGCAGCAGGTGACAGAGAAGCCAGAGGGAAATATCTCTGTAATATCTCATCTTTGTTACGGACACTTGTACCCCCCACCCCCCGCCCCTCCAGACCCTGACTTCTGAGAGCTACCCAGAGTTTGGAACATTTGCAAAACAATCCTAGGGTTTTGTTGTTTGGCTTTGTTTAACACCCTCAGGAATTTTCTGCCTCTAAAAAAATTCTTCTTCTTTTTTTTTTCCTTTTTTCTTTCTTTTTTTTTTGGTCGGTATTTGTGCCTGGGACATCAAACCAGACTGTAAATTCCTTGAGGGCAGAAACTCTGTCTTGTTTCTCTCTCAAGCACCCTTGGTATGTAGCACAAAGGAAAGCATTTCATAAACATTTGCTGAATGATGGAGGTTGATTCTCATCAATGTGGTCTTTCCCTGTCCGTCCCCTGCTCTGTCCCTTGCACTGACCAGGATGCAGCTCCATTTCTTGTTGTTCCAGAAAGAGACGGAGTGCGTTCTGCTGATCTCTGTCTGACCAGGGGCCGTCATGTGTCACTCACCCGGGGCCCTGGTATTTGGAACACAGCCTCTGCGAATGTCAAGGGATGACTCCTAACCCGTGGTTAGTCTCCCCAGGGCTGGCTGCCCAATGGTGTGATCCATTTAATAATAATACTTAACACTTAAACTGTGGCTTCTATGAGCCTCTTCAAAGCCTTTTACGATCATTAGCTAATTAAGGCACAGCCCTGCCCTGGTGACTACAGTTATAATTCCCACTTTACAGATGGGGAAACTGAGGCAGATTTTAAGTGAGCTGCCTCAGGCCAGAGTCAGCATCCGAGCCAGGATTTGAAGTTGTAGATACCTAAATTCTGTGCGAGGCTGACATACCCCAGACCCTGCTCATTCTAAATAAATGGCTCCTGAGGAAGTGAGTGGACAGGCCTCTCCATCCATTGAACCTGTGTCCTTGGTGTTGGAGGCATGAGTCTGATCCATTCATTCAATACTTTTGTAACTCTCCAGGCTCAGGTTCAGCTTCCTGCTGGGATAACCAACAAAAAGGGCAGACAATGGGCCTCCCGTGGGGTTTCACTTTCTTCAGAAAACTTTGCTACTGCACATGCGTTCCCAGCACATGTAAAATGCATATGGCGGATGAGAGCCAACTCAAAACTGCTACCCACTTCCGGCTCTCTCACCAGCTTCCTCCTAGAATAAGATTTCAGAGAGAGAGAGAGAGATAGAAATGAGACATGATGACACTGGAAGCTGTGGGAATCCTCAGTTGGTGACAGAAATAAAAACAGCTAGTCACAGTCAAGTGACAGAATGTAGCATATGATTAGGGGGATTAGTACTTCCGGTCTCAGATGTTAAGGTGCTCAGTAGGAAATTGTGACGGATTTGTTTGGCAGAAAGCTAAATGACTTGAACTCTCCCAAAGACAACCCAAGACTCTTAACTACTAAACACAGATTCCAATTACTAGCACAGAATAGAACCATGCACCTCCTCCAGCGTGATGTGTTTTGCAGCCTTACTCAGGAGCCCTTTATTTAGAATGAGCAGGGTTGGGGGGGGTGTCAGCTCCAACACAGAATTGGGTATCGGCAACTTCAAATCCTGGCTCAGATGCTGACTCTGGCCCATGACAGCTCACTTAAAATCTGCCTCAGTTTCCCCATCTGTAAAGTGGGGATTATAACTCTAGTCATCAGGGCAGGGCTGGAAACGAATATTTGAGATTCTTATTAAAATGAGTTACCTATCTCCAGGCCCTCTGGCCTATGGAAATAGACTGAATACCAAAGCCAAGGGCAGCCAGAGTGAGAGAAAGATGTGGGGGGAGTTCCTGAAAGCCAAATTCTGGAAGGTATGGCTGGCTCAGGGTCTGCAAGGACCGCAGGGGCGGGTCACTAAGAGCGTGTGGCAAGGACATTCCACACCTAGCAGGCATGAGGACACAGAGATAAGGAGGAGAGAGTCAGGGGGCCTGACCGAAGGAAAAGACATGAGTTGAAGAGCACTTATTGACTTTGAAGTAATAGAATTTTCTGTTGTTCTGAATCATAGTAACCATACATGGCTCTTCGGAGGAGGGGGAATCTAGGATAATAGCAGGCAGCCCCAATCTAAACCCCGTGAAGTACATATCTCTTATGTTCCAAAACAGATAACATTCATTTTGTGCAGCAAAATCTCTTAAAAGTGAACACTGGGCGCTTCATGTCTGCAGCTTATAAATACTTCCATTTAAAACTCCCTGAGAAGTCAAACCAAGTTCATCCCATGCTCATGAGCAGCATGGCTTGAAAACTCCAAACAGACAATATATCCCAGGACAAAATTATGGTGTTGCTGTTAAGGGATGGTATAACTTGGTTCCCAAAGCAAATGCCAGGAGAAAAATAGAATCATAAATATTTAACTCACAAATTTTCTCCTAAAGCATAAATGAGAGGCGTTCATGCAGAATCAGGAGTTGAAGGTGGGGGGGGGTGCTTTTTGTTTGTGTTGTTTTTATGGAATTAACTCTTGGAATTAAGGTAATTAAGTGCTATTAGCTTAACAGTCTTGAGCCAGGTAGACTCACAAGGTGGATTTCAGGTCCCACTTTTTTTTTTTTTTTTTTTGGCCTTAGACTCGATTTCATTTCTTACAGAGGTAAAAGGAGCTAAGGAATAAACACCGGGTGACTTGAAAAAGCAGAAGATATGGCCCTTCCCCCACAAAGGGACACTGGCTACACATGTACGCTTACGACCCCTGCACTTGGCCTTTCTCATCCCCAAACCCCTGAGTAAAGATAAAAGGGGATGAGATATGAGATCTGAGGTGATGGGACAGAGGAGAAATATAGAAGAGGGTCATGTTCCTAGGATTCTCCCCTATGGAAAATACCTGTGAGGCATAGCTGGAGGAGTCAGCTGGTTGGCTGTGCAAAAGTTAAAATGTTCTCTATCCCAGCTAGGGTCAGCAGGTAACATACAGAACACCCAGTTAAATTTGGAATTTCAGGTAAGTAACAAATCACCATTTAGTATAAGTATGTCCCAAATATTGCATGGGACATACTTATACTCACAGAATACTCACCATTTTAATTTCCCGGAAATTCACATTTAAATGGGCATTGCATGTTTTTGTTTGCTAGATCTGGTAGCCCTAACAACAGGAAAAGGTTTGCCGTGTATAAAAGTGAAAAATCAGGGAAGGGGAATGATTGTAAGCGTGAATGATTGTTTAGAGATACGAAAGTAACAATCCCAAGAAACAGCTAAAAGAGTTTAAGTGGTTTCCTCTAGGAAACAAGAATTGAGAGCAGGGAACGTTCAGGTCAAGGGACTGCTGTTTTTCTTAGGCCTTAGCAGTAGTGTTTGGACTTTCATCCATGCACTTGTATAACCTTGACAAAAACTAAAATTTTGTTTAGAAAATTTAGAAATTTAGAAAAGGAAATGATTACCAACAATTTTATTTAACCCCTTTTTTAATTGGTATGTCAAGTTGCCAAGTTTCAAGAGCATATGAGAAAAAGGGCAAAAAATTAAAATAAAAAGACAGAGAACATCTCCTGGTCCCCCGGTCCTCCTCCGAGTCATTACCACCCATTTTTTCCCCATCCGTGGTGGGTGAACACAGACCTCCAGCCTAGAGAACCCCCACTATGGTAACGCTCAAGGCTGGCGGACGAAGGAGGCAGGAAACCGGTGGGTTCTGCTGTAGTGGGAGTGAGGATTAAGGCTTTAGCTACTTTAGCTTTTAATTCTTGAACGCTTACTAAATGCCAAGCACTGCATTAAGAAGTAGACTACATGATCACCTTCCAACTTCCCAGCAACTCGGTGAGACATCGTTATCCTCACGTACCAACGAGGCATTGAAGCTGACTGAGGTCAAGATCACTACTTGCCAGAGATCAGCGCCCTGGCAAGTTGTGCAGCTGGGATTGGAACAAGTGCTACATCCTTTCGGAGGTGTGATGCTGGGTGCAAGATTCTGGCCACAGCCCCGCCTGGGACTCAGAAAGCCAAAGCTCCTCACGATCACCTAAATCACAGGTACCACAGAGAAGGGCCCGGCGCTCTAATACCGTCTCTAGTTTCAACACTGTCCACTGTTGTTGTGGGACAGGAGCGGGTCGTGCTTCTGATGGCCCAGGATCCCGGTGCTGTGTCTCAGAGGTTTCAGGGAGACTGCCCAGGAAGAGAGAGCACACTCTGTACCATTTCTGCAAGGCTCTGCCCTAGACTGGGCTTCTTTCTGCCCCGCATGCCTCAGGCCATGGATACAGGGATAGAAGTGTCCTCAGAGAGCTGTCATGTCTTGAAGGCCAGTTTGGAAAACATCAGAAGGCACAACACGCCATGCACCTGTTTGTTTTTCCACGGGAGATCGAGGGGCTGGGAGAGAGGGCATGACCGTGGCCAGGGAGTGAGGAGGGGGTTGCCCTCCCAAACCACCCACCGTGCAGCCTCCATGCAGTTCACAGTCAGAAGAGAAGGCTGGGCCTTGTTCTGTGCCTGGGTGTTTGCAAGCTGATGCTTCTGCAGCAAACAAGCCTGGGACAGCCGAAGATACGGTGACAACACGGGCATCTAAAAGCTGCCAATCAAACGAACACCTCTGTCCCCGCTTTGATTCCTTCCAAGTCACACCTGAGCATGGTGAACCCATGCCACTGTCTCACCAGATTGGAGTTTTGGGGAATTGGTCAAAGTTCTGCTTCCTTCCTCTGCTGGTACAAATCCAGGGTTGGAGCAAGAACGCATTTTATGACCCAGTGATAGTGGCTGGCATTGTTCATCGTTATGATTATTATTTGCAGAAAGCCCAAGTGCACATTCAGCAGGGTTGTAAATGCCCAGAACGTGGGGAATGCCCCCTGGTCATTTTCAGGTAAGTCAGCTCAGCTCCCCTCTGCTACCATCAGATAATGGCTCAGATGATAAGTTTCAGCTACCTGGGCTGGAGCCTCTTCCAGTATTTGATCCCAGTAAGAGATCTCTTTGATGTCTGCGATCCTCCACGGGATAAGGGGCTTGACTCCCTGCTCCCAGCCTGACTCAGTGGTGACTTCCCTCCAGCTCTTGGGAATTATTCCCCTGCCGGAGGCTTCCACACTGGGGTAGCCTGCTTCCCAGGGACTGCAGAGAAGTTCACCATGCCATTTTTAAAAACAAACATCAAGAAAAGACTTTCTCTTTTTATATGCTAAGGACAGGAGTCTCTGCCAGCCCATGGGAGTCCATTGTTTGAAGAAGTCGAAGTGAAATAGTTAAGATCCAGGATTAGGCAAAGCTCTGTGGGCCCTCACTCATCTCTGCCACTGAACAGAGTTTCTGTGTGGGTCTCATTGACTAGTTGGGCATGGTGTGGCCCAGGGGGCAAACTCAGTGCTCTATTTCACATTGGATCACAAATATTTGGGAGACCGCCAGCTCAGGGGTCTCCATGACCTTCTTTGGCAGGTGAGTGGGAGCTGGGCCTCCTGGGAAGCATGGTGATCGCTGGTGGGGCTGAGCTCCAACTCAGGGAGCTCCGCTTCCCGGCCTGTCGTCCTGCCAGTTGAGTCACTGAAAATCCCCAAACTGTCAGGATGAGCTGGGAGCTATAAGAAACTAGACATTAGGGGCGTTAACCCGTTGCCTCTTCAACTGGCATTTAAGACTGGTCAACAGCACCCTCATTGTCGTCGGTGGGAAGGGCTTTATTCCAAGTTCTTAACTTCTGGACTGGAAAAACATTCCCTTATTCATCGAATTCACACACACACACATGCATGCACACATGCACACACACACACACACACACACACACGCACACACCCCTAGGAAAAACTGATAGCTTGCACATGAAAACCAGATCAGATCACAGGGTCTGATAACCCGAGGTGGGGTAAATTGCAGAGATGGAACATCAGGAACCCGCACAGAAACCATCCTGCGGAGCTGGGCTGTCCTCCCCGCAACAGGACTGGGGACCCTCCTCAGTCTAGTGACCTGGTTCCCCAACCAGGTAGGTCACTGCCTTTGGAAAGGTCAGGAAGGTTAGAGAACCAGCAGCTACTGCTTCCTCTCCCACCGAGAATGAGGTGGGGCTGGGGAGAGAGAACACGCTGGACCAGGCTGCAAATTCTGGTGGGTCTGAATCCAACACCAAAGATGATCTGTGCCAAGGCTGATCTTCTGTCCCTAGGTCCTCCTTCCAGAACGGCACCATCCCAGACTCTGACCTTCCAAGTTAGAGGGCAACTCTCATGGCCTACAAAATTCTGGGAAAGGCTCTGCAAGGAAATACCACCATCCTGAGATCTGCTCCCTATTTCTCCAAACCCCCCCGCAAACATCTCCCTGCTCCCAGGTCTCTCCCCTCAGGCATGCAGCAGCTCGGGAGAGCCCAGCTCCCCTCCCTCTTGCTGGGGAGGGAGGGAGCCAGGCTGAAGTCCCAGCAGGTGTCTCTGCCTCGCCTTTTCTCCCGGGGCAAGAGGCAATGCAGGTGCCTCCTGCCTCTCCCTCTTTCCTCCTAGTGGGAGTGGGCGGCTAGGGAGGTGTCCCAGCCTCTCCCTCCGGCGCCCCAGGGCTGGTGGTTTAGGGAGGTACCTCTGCTACCAACTCCTTTCTCAGAGCAGAAGGCTGGAGCCCATGATCCAAACCCCAACCCCCCACGTCTTTCCCACCAACACTACCACCTCCAAGTAGCTTTATGGACTCATGGATTCTGCTTTCTACGTGACTTGAGACTCTTACTCAAATCTGTTGTCATTTGCTGCTGCCGTCCCAGCCCCGAACGACTGGGGCAACTCTGCCAAAATGTAAGAGGTAGGCCTGGCCTCAAGGAGTTTAGAGTCAGCCCCAGGAGATGGCAATTTGGCTACTTAGATGTACACACCCATCCTACCTAAAGCTCTGGCTGGATAAAATCTCTTTGTCCCTGCTCCTGGATCTCATCTGACCCCTGACAGAAGAGGACTTTGGGAGTGCATACCTCGTCTCTCCCATATCTGATTCCCACGGTGGAAAGGAGGGGGAAAGAGAATTCTTCAAGAACAGGAAGGTTGAGGGTGGAGCATGGTAATGGGATCTTCTCTAGATGCTCTCCACACAGAACCGCAGGCCCACGAGAGACATATGTGACTGGGTGGGAAAGGGTACTGGGAGGAAATTGAAAGAAGCACAGAGGGTCCTTCCAGGAAATGGCCACTGAGTGTGCACCTGGCCTGGCCTTGGCCTTGCCTGCATTCGGGGCTGTTGGGTGGAATCCCAGATAGACTGAGGTCAACCCATCACAGCACAGTCTACCACCCCCAATCCATCCCTACCCCTCCAGAAAAGGGCCACTGCCTCAGGACACATTCCCCTACCTGGCTGGGAGCTATTGGGAACGTAGCGTTCTATGGAAATAAGGAGAACCCCAAAGATCCGGACCTGCCATGTTGGCCTTCCAGAAGAGAGAAGAGGCAAGCAGGAGGGAGAAGGAGCTCCAAGGAAGCCCAACTAGAGGCCAGCAGGGACATGCAGGTAGAAGAAGGATGATAGGATGGTAGGGATGACAAAAGTGGCCTCGCCTCAAAAATCCACCCCAGAAAGGTCCCAAGGTTTAAACATAATTGTAATTTTGACCAACAATGAACATTGTTCCAACCTAGAGATCAGGGACTTTTTTTTCACCTTAAACACTGGACGCAAAACAGAAAGACAGAGACGTGGAGAAGAAAGACAGAGACAGGGACAGGATGGGTTGGCATATAAAGTGCAATGGAGAAGAAATATGGAACCCTAGAAAATGAGCAGGAGATGTGGTAAGAGGAAGGTGCTCTTCTGTCGTTCATCACCCACTGTGCTCGGGCCCCTCGGAGGGCCTGTGTCCATTCTATTGTGGACAGGGATGAGCTCAGACCCCCAGCTCCTTTCTGCTAAAAATCCAACTACTGGCTGCTTGGATTGAGGGAAACTTTTCCCAGAAGCAGTCAACCAGGATTGGGGGATTACACCTGATGGCAATCATTCCTTTTTAGGTGCCTGGCTGCACCCCTTCTTCCAAGATCTGCCAGGGAAGCAGTGAGAATTTCTACATCATAAAGGTGGAGGGTCCTGGGTATTTCTCTTGTTCTAATCAGAAGCATCTTTCTCAGCCCTGTACACTTGATTAGCAGTCTTCTATTTCTCTCGAATGTTCCATGGGTCAAGCTGAGAAGTGACAAATGCACCGTTTGATAGATAGGGAAACTGAGGCAATGCAAAGGGAAGGGCTGAGCCTCAGGAGCAATGGTGCCATAGCAAAGAAGACCCCCATGCAGCCTGCATGAGACACAGAGTCTTTAGAGCCCACTGCCTGTGATATAATAACCTCCATTTCCCTGTCGTTCCTGCGGGGAGAATGGGAATGTCTGTGATGTTGAGTCAATCCAAGCTGAGCTTTGAACTCCTTTCCCAAAAGTATGTTAACAAACACCACCATCTTCTAGAAATGTGTCTTGTCCCCATCTTTCCCATGGAATCCCTTAAAAGCAATAGAACTACGACCAGATAAAATAGGACCCCAAGATCACGTGTGTAACTGCCGAAGAGAGTCCTCTCTGCCCAGCCACACAGCTCAATGTGAGGAAAAACTAAATGAATTAGGTCTAGAAAGGTCAATGGAGACTATATGCAGGCCACACTCAGAGGGCTGTGTGGCTTGCCCAAGAACATGTTAGGAATTGGCTAAACTGGCCCTAGAATCCTGATCTCACGACCTCCAGGTAATAATGACAAGAAGGACTTAGCATCGGCAAAGTTAGGTAGCCTCCCCCACCCCCCCCCCCCCACGCCAGCCTAAATACAGAATACTGCCGTGAGCACATTGCTTAAGAGTTTAACCTCACTCCTAACCACAACTTGAATTGTGAATGCTATCAGCAATACCACCTTTGAGGTAAAAAGACAGTGGTCCTGAAGTCTCAAAAAAAAAAAGAAAAACCATGACATTGGGGTTCATAATAATATAGAAAATTAAAGGTGGGTATGTCCTACTTCCCGAAAATTCTACCCTATTGTATTTGTATTGAATTTTTGGAGTGATAGCCTTTGAATGCGTTGGCAAGTTGGCTATCGAAAGTAATCCTATGGTGAATCCTTTTTATTAGCTAAAGAATCTTTTGCAAGGCAAATAGTTCCTCTTGATGTTCACAAGTGTGTATCTGTATGGAAAGCTAATCCCTATATTATTCCAGGCACATCTCGGATTCCATAAAGAACGTCACTTTGGGAGCAGCTTGGGAAGAAAGCGCTTGAGTGGGAGTGGATCCTGGAGACAATTCATACAGATTTGCTTCTTTCCTAATTTTTCCCATCTTCGTTACCAGAGCAAAGCCCCGAACTTTGTGCCCTGAATAAAGGTTTTGGGGGAATTCTATGAAAAAAAATAATCATTAACAGTGTAGACACAGAAGCTTATGTTCAAGTGAAGAATAAATAGTATCAAAAGGCAAATGTTCACTGATTCTCAGCAGCATTAGTCTAAAGGGAGGACACCAGAGGGCACTTCTGGGATGGATGCAGAAAAGAGGAAAAGAAAGAAATTGATTAAGTTTTAAACCCATCACAGATGCCCAATA